CAGTCGAGTGTAAAATAGCTGAGAACCGAGTCGAATAGGGAAGAAAATATTTTTAGTGTTGTTATTAGGGACATTGACTGTATCTAAGAGAAAAATCTTGTTTATTATAAGAATAAGAATTTTTACATAAGTTTTTATTTTTCCTTGTTATAGAAACTAAGACAATCAATAGTTTTAGGTATAGAATAATTCCAGTAATTAGGCATACAGAACATAGAAGTTTGGTCCAAGACACTCACCGTTTTGCATATCTTTTCTTCGTCGGCATTATTTGTAAGATCACTACGTTTAAATATAAAATTTTAATAGTATGATAAGTAAATAATCTATAACAAATAAAATAATAAAAAGCAACACTTGTCCACGACAATAAGGTTTTAGACTTGCTTTTAACCCTTTCAATAGCTTACGTCATCTTGTAGAAGACATATAGAAAGAAAAAAAAGAGGTCGCTATTGGAAAAGTTAAAAACGCATTCTTAATATATGCTTTGAGTACGGCTAGACCTCAATTATCCGATCAGAACAAGAGCGGAGAAGAACAAGAGAAAAAGAAATATGGAAAACCATATGATTCAGTATAACCAACATGGATTTTCTTAATCTGCCATTTATGATGTTATTTTTGTGAGTCCTCCTTCTCTCCAGCTCGCTCATTCGCTTACTCTTTCTTCCTATCATGTCCATTTTTACAAACCATGAGTAATGCTTTAGTCATCAAAACGTCACGAAATGTTTATTATGTATATAATTTATAATGAAAATATGATCGAGTCAATATACAATTGATAGTAGTACAATGTTTTCAACCAAGTCCTATATGATTATGTCGTAGAAGATAGAACTACTTATGTAATGAAACTCAACAAATCACGAAGAAAAAGTTTACTTTACAAAGATATATGACACTTGATGATTATTCTCTTCAAATACACCGAAAAAAACGTCTAAAAGTACAAAAATCTTGAAAAATTTCAGTTCAAAAAATGTTTTTCGTTTTTTCTCGATTAATGTTTTTTTTGACCTTTTGTCCAAGATTTCTCGATCCAGGCTCAGTCAATATATTTAAATTTTTTTTTGTTTGAAAGAGCGCGTCGAGATGCAGGGCAATATAGAGTTCTTTTTTTAATTAAGCTCTTTTTTTTATTATGTGTACCGACATAGACACCCATTTTTGGCGCGTTTTTTGAGCCATTGAACTTGTAACCCCCTTTTTCCGCTAAAAAAGTATGAATTTAAAAAAAAGGGCTCTATATTGCCCTGCATCCTGAGATGCTCTTCCAAACAAAAAAAAATTAAATATATTGATCGAGCCCCGGTCGAGAAATCTTGGACAGAAAATGAGCTATTTTAGACCCTTGTTTGGTTTATATCTCTGTTAAATGTCATTAGATCAAGCTGAAAATTTTACCACAGCCTCCCCACTTCAGCCCCAACATATGCTCAAAATTTCAGTCCATTTGAATGTTCTTAGGCTGAGATCGATTTTTGAGTGGGGGGGGGGGGGCGGGGAGGCCTTAATACTTAATTGAAAATTTATTCACCCGAGTCTATGTTACAAGGCTCTTATACAATTGATTCCCGAGTCTCTTTTGAAATTAGAGGCTCTTTAATATTTCAATTAATTTTAGAATTAAAATTAAAAATAAGGATGAATTGTTGTTATTGTAAATATTTGTTTTGTCCAGGGTCGCCAATTGTTAGCGGTTGTCCTTTTGGATCAACGCTAAGTTCGTTCTTTTCTTTTAAATAAATATATATGCGTGTGTGTGTGTACACCTTGCACACGATCTTTTATTATATTTAAATAACGGAAAACACGTACATATATAGTGAGCGAGAAAAAAAGAAAAGAGAATGAGAAAAAAGAAAGAGAACAAAGAAAAGATGTATGGATAACAAAAGAAAAGACTAGATATATCACCGAGAAAGAAATAAGAAAAGAAATGAAAAGATAAAATAAAAAATGAAAAATAGATGGCGAGTTGTATCAGTGCGCCATCACTGTAACAGGATGATATCCTGAGAATACTTTTTTAATTTAGATCAAGATTCTATTCTCATTTTCGATTGAATTTGTACAATGATAAAAGTTCACTTTAGAATTTTTCCATTTTATTCTTCAAACTATTACAATCTTCTTAGTTTTCTTTTTCTTTTATACTTCTTAGAAACATTGAAAATTGATTTAAGTCAATGTGAAGAAATATATAAACATTTTAATTGGATTGTTTTTCATCGAAATAAAGCATTAAGTATTACGTAGTTCATCAATAACAAGTCAATCATATTATGATACAAGAAGTTTTGAAATTTATTTCACGCAAAAATACAAAATAACTAATAGATTTATGAAAAAATTTGAAACTAAAAATGAAGTATTATTTTAGATGTCGAATGGGTGAACGATTAATGTAAAAAAGTTCTCTGGATGCTAATTCACCTTAAGTAAAACTTTCCGAAGTTTATTTTTTAAGATTACTTTTCTACGTTTTAGTTTAGTATAATATCTGCATGAACACTTCAAAATAGTTATAAATTATTTTTATTTCATAATTATTCTATATTGATGCCCATGGAATAAAAAAATGAAAAAAATTACATTTCTCATAAAGAAAAGGATACAATTATGCATGTTTTTTATTTTCATCGATTAAAATGAAAGTTTCACGAATTTCATTTTAATCGATGAAAATAAAAAACATGCATGATTATGTCCTTTTCTTTATGAGAAATGCCATTTTTTTCATTCTGTTTACATGAAAGTCACCATTTCTTTTCACTTTTTTATTTCATGGGCGGAAAAAACCCAATAATTCTGAATCATCATTACCTATGCATTCAAATAAAATGTGTCAATGTTTTACAACGAGCTCGTCGTGTGGCATATCTTGCGTTCTCCGCTAGTTACATAACAACCAGCGGAGAACGCAAGATATGCCGCACGACGAGCTCGTTGCAAAACATTGACACATTTTATTTGAATGCATAGGTAATGATGATTCAGAATTATTGGGTTTTTTCCGTCGTCACATCTTTAGTTTTGGTGTTTTCTCCATGAGTTGCTCTTTTTTCTCTCTTCCTCTCTGATGGGTATAAAAATTCGATTGAAGAGGAGGAAACAAATCATATAGAGCAGGATTCACGAAGGATAACTCTGTCTGTCTGACCGATGCCGTCATCTCTTCTCGGCACATGTTCCGTGTGGTATGGTGTTGTCTGTATTACGTTCGATGTATTCTTTTTTTTTATAGACATATGTATTTGAGTGCTATGCGAATATGATTTATTTTTTTCTGTGTGATATTCTTGGGTCCAAGTCCATGAATCCGATCGAGTCTGCCCACGTAAAAGTTTATAAAAATTTAACGATTTAACGATTTAACGGAAGAAGATGTTACCTTTTTTATGATGAAAACGCGCTAAAATATGTATTTGAACGAAGTTTCACGTATGTTTTCCCATTAAAATAGAATTAACCCCAAAAAATTCGTTAAAATACATGTTTTAACGCGTTTTCATTATAGAAAAGGTAACATCTTTTGTCGTTAAGGGACTAAAAGAACTAAAGCACCTAAAGAACCTGAAGGAATGCAAGGTGTAAATTGATTAAAGGCAATAAAGGAATTAATAAATTATATATTATATATTAAAATTTAAAATCCTCTAGAAAAAGTAAAACAGGATAACTTTTATTTCTCGTGGACCTATGCTTGTCTTACTGAAATGTATTTTCCAAACGTCCACTTGTTCTGGTAGTTTTCCTTCTTGTTCTGACTTTTTTCGCACTATCTTTGATGTTGCCTACCACGTTCGTATATATTTTGTATTCGTTTGGAAAAAAAGATAGACGTTTGATATGGATCAGTTAGATCGCATTCCTTGTTATCATTGCTATTTTATGCTCATTTTTCGTGAGCACCTGGATAATTTGTTTTCAGTTTTTTCTTCTCACACATAGTTCATATCACATCAACGATTCTCTCTCTGTTTTTTCCGTTCGCCTTTCTGTAATACATGATGATGAGTTATCATTAGTAAGAAATGAACTTTTCTCGTTTTCATAATATTTTTCTTCCAGAATTAGATAAGGCTTTGTTTAAATGCTTGAATCTCAAGGTAATCATACAACTAACGTAGTTACTTTCTGGTTTATCATCGTTCAATAGTTATGTAGTTCACAAACACTAAAGAAAATATCACTTCAGTCGTGACACATCAACTATTTATACGTTAATCTTTTTCAAACTTCAGCTATGATTATTGTAGAATTAAGTAAAATAGTAAATATTGTTATTAGTGTGTTCATTTTGCCATGCTTCATAATTTATAAAATGATTTTTTTTCAGAAATCTTCTTCATAATGGCTGCCACAGCATCGACAATAAATACTCAAGACTCTGAAAGTCTATTAGCAGCTGCAATGTCAGCAATCATAGGCATCAATGTACAACCGTCCAATAAAAATCCAGACTCAACATTTAAAATTTCTCTATTCGATTATCATGATAAAACATACTTAACCGGTCCAGTCGGTGGCATATCATCAGTTAGAGAGAACCCAATAACACAGATGACAGATGGTAGGAAAAATATTTCTTCGTCCTCAGTTGAGATAGATGGAATATGGTTTTCAAAAAACGCTCAAAAAATGCCGGATAAATCGATTCAGATATTTATAAAAACATTAACTGGCAAGACTATTACGTTGGAAGTACTTCCAAATGAAACTATGGATGAAGTCAAAACTGTATTACAAGACGCAGAGGGTATACCTGTCGATCAGCAACGTCTAATATTTGCTGGAAAACAGTTAGAAGATGGTAGAACATTAGCTGATTATAATATACAGAAGGAATCCACAATACATCTAGTGCTTCGCTTGCGAGGTGGCCATGAAGCAATTCTGGATCCATCAACTATGGATCCATGTTACAATTATGATTTTACGAATATAAAAGATGAAAATAAAAAATTTACACGAGGTGGAGAAAAGTATGTTCGTCCTTGTGGATGGAAACGTTATGCCATAAAAGTATCTGATAAATATGAAAACTTAGTGTGGTTAGGTAAAACCAACAATCCAGGTGAATGGTCTGTATCATATCATGGAACTGGTCAACATCAAGCGAGAACTATTGCAATGGATGGTTTTGATTTATCAAAAGGAAAAAGATTTGCATATGGACATGGAGTATATTCAACTCCAGATATAAATGTAGCAACAAAATATGCTAACAAATTTTCATTCAAAGGTGATGATTATTTAGTTGTATTACAAAATCGTGTTAATTCAACAACATTGGTAAAAATATCAGCTGATCGAACTGGTGTAGGTGAATATTGGGTTAGTCCTAGTGACAAAGATATTCGTCCATATGGAATTTGCATTAGAAAATTATAAGTGTTATACAAATAGTTAAGAATAAGTTAATACTATAGTCACGATAAGTTTATTATACTTTTGAGTTTTTATTCTTATTCATTTCAAATAAACATGATTAAAACAGTTTTCTTTTGGTAACTGTAGCGCGTCACTTTCCTTCGTTAAGAAAAAGACACTGGCTGTGGGTGTGGGTAGGGGTGGTACTTTCCTTTTACTTTATAAAATAAAGATAAATGGATCCTTTACTCTTAAAAAATAAAGATAAATGAATCCTGTATTTTTAAAAAATAAAGATAAATGATCATTTATTTTTAAAAAATAAATGAAAAATAAAGGAATAAATGATATTTTTTACGATAGATAATATGATTGAAAGAGCACTAGAATCATGGAATAAATCTACAGAGAGATTATTATTGTTTAAAAATGTAATTTGATTAAAAATACGCTTCCTACGATGAAATTCAAAAACAACAGAAATTAAAGCATTGTTTCTGTTTTTTTAGAGTAGTAAGAAAGAGAAAAATCTTCTTGTAGCATTCCAATGTGATCAAAGGCTTCTTATATATTCAGACATCTTTTTGAAACTTTATTTTAGAATCATAGAATGTCTCAATTGAAGCGATGATCACTCAATCTTCTTATTTCTAGATAAAATTTCTCTATAATTTTGAATTTCACTTTTAATTATCTACATCCTTGCCCAAGATAGTCTATATTTTGTTATCTTTCTCAAGACAGTTGGTCAATAGAAGTTGTAGAACTTTTTTTTTTAAATAAGTATCAAATAGATAGTTTTATTTTCACAAGAAGTAATTCTTTTCTTCAGTTACTGAAAAAAATCTTGATGATGTACACACAACTATAACAAAGGACGACAAAATAAAGAAGCGAAAACAAAAAACAGAAAATAACACACACAAATAAGCTGTAATGATCATAGTTTTTCATATGATTTAATTTCAAGTGTACCTACATAGAAAAAAAGCTTTTTTTTGACAGGAACTATTTGTCAGTGATACATTCATTCTCTATAGTATATCTTAATGGAAATTTAATACGATAATTTGGACAGAACATGAACTAGTTTGATAATAGTATAGAATAACTTTTTACCTCCAATAGTTTTCATACGAACTTCAAATTCAATTACTGTTCTCTAAAAATGTTTAGAAACAAGTCGAATCCATATTCACGAATGAAAGAAAAGGCAAACTATATTTTGGAAATCGAATCACTTCCAAATAACAACTATCTACAGAGCAACTTGTTTACTTTACAATAAGTAGGACACGAAGCACACGTTAACTCTCTATACCGGTATTTAGTTGAATAATTTTTTTTCTTAACTAAAGTATTGGATCATTGAGAGAAGCTCGTGAAAGATAATTTTTGAAGAATATTAATTCTATGGGAGTATGGTCTCAATGATCTAATACGTTAGTTAAGAAAAAAACCTCTTTAGCTAAATACGTATATAAGGAGTTGACATGTGCATCTTGTCCTACCTACTGAAAATAGACAAGTTGGTCAATATAAAGCTGATCTATGAAAACAATTCGATTGTCAAATCTTAATTTGTATTGTCTTCTATTCGTATGTATGAGCTCGAGTTTTCTTAAAGTATTTTCGATAAAAATTTAATTTCATTTGAAAACCATATGAAAATTTTCTTGGGCAAAAAAAATATCGTGGCCTATTGTCAGACCAGAGCTGGGCAAGTACGGACTTTTTCGAGTACGAGTACGAGTACGAGTACTGGCCCTAGAGTACGTGTACGAGTACGAGTACGAGTACATAAGAGTGAATTTCCTAAGATCTCATTAGAAAAAATTTAATTGATAGTTTTAATAATGATGTATTCATTTTGAGATCGAAACATTGTTAAAGTCATGAATCAAAATATGTTTATTCTTATTTTTTTCATCATAAAGTTTTAAACAATCAAATTACAACAAAACGCTATTGCATTTAAGAAAAGTAAGCAAGCATACATTTTTTGAGGTTAACGATGCGCGATGTGGACGCATAATAAAACCACTTTTAGAAAATATTCTTTCAATAGGAGCTGATGTAGCCGGTACTGACAAGTATTTTAGACTAAGTTCATATAGAGAAGGATAAAGATTTTTCTTGAGAAAAAGTAAATTATTTTCATTGCTTCTTTCCGATAGAAAAGCATCAAGCTCTACCAAAACTTTCGATTTGTCATCAAATGAAATCTTTTTTGTATCATTTAAGTAAGGAAAAAGACATTTTCTTTTTGTTGTTGGATCAACATGTTTTGTCATCATATCAGTAATATCTTGTTCAGCTACGTTCGACTCATCAGCTCCTTCTGGTTGTGATACAGAAAAATTCAATTTTGAGAAAAAACGAACAAAAGTACTGTAAATTTTTTCGATAACACGTAACTTTATCGCAAATTGAAGATTATCGAGCCATAACAACTTAAAACGTGCATCTAGAAGTGGCGCAATTAGAAAGATAGGATCAGAAAAACGTTCAGACATGGAATAAAAAGCAAATGGTACATCAATTTCGAAATGACGAAGAAGTCCACTAAATCGAGCTTTCAAAGATGAAAGAAGTGCTTCACACACAGATACAAGAGATAAATTTGAAGAAGCATGTTCACGCTCAAGATCAAAAAGAATACCAAGAATAGTAGGTGCAACAAGACTAACAGTAGCATAAAATTCACCTTGTGTTAGAACAGTAGCTTCATTAAACAGTTCAAATAAAGAAACAAAATCTTCTAAAATTTTTCTATCTTTAGTATTAAGAATAAGATTATTTTTTTTTAAATCAGTTAAAATGGAGTTAAGAATGAAGGATGGAATACTGATAACTTTCTTCACAGTTTGAAATTGTGAATTCCATCGAGTTCGATTAGCAAGAGGAATACTGTACTTTTGTTCTTCTAAACGTTCTGCAAATGATGTACTTGTATGTGCAAGTTTAGCAAGATCAGCTACTTTTTTAAGAGATGATAATGCACCACCAGCAGCTTTAATTCCATCATTAACAACAAGTTGAAGACAATGACTAAAACATGGTAATCGTAAAAATTCTTGTTCAGCTGGTGTATTAAGTGTTGTTCCATATATGTCATCATCTACTTCTTCTGCTTGTAATTGACTATTTTCGTACAATTCATTATTATCACTATCTTCATCACTTGTTTCACGTTCAGATTGATCATCATCAATATCATTAAAATATTCTTCAAAACCGGGTAATATAAGATTATCAAATGCAGCTTGATTATTACTTGCATTATCAGTAACTATTCTAACAAGTTTATCCTTTAAATTGTACATTTGTATAACACGATCAAATTCAGCAGCAAGTTTATCACCAGAATGTTTACCTTTTAGACGTTCGAACGAAAGAACATAAGTTTTATATTGATCATCAATAATTGTGTGAAGTGTAATGCCAAAATAACTACGCATTCTACGATCACTCCATATATCAAGAGTGAGACTAACATATTTTGATCGATTACAAATATCCTGTAGCTTTTTTATACATTTTTTATACATAATAGGAAGAAACGAACGTGTAATATCACGTCTATTAATCATTTTGTACTTTGGATCAACATCTAACATAAAATTCATAAACGATTCATTGTCGACTATCGATAATGGAAGACTCATATTAATAATAAGATTTCGAATGAGACTGTTGGTGAGAAGCTGTTGACGTTTATTATTGGTCGAATCTAAAATTAAAAAAAAGTTTCTTATCTTTGTATCTTTATAGAATATGCAAAATGAAATCATAGTAACATATTTCTCTTTATAAACGGAACAAAGTTTATCGCCTCAATTCTAGTCTTTTCTCACTATTTTTTTTCTAATTCAATTACGATGTAATTTAAGATAGGTGTATACTTACATTTTTCATTCTCTCGATTAAAAATATTTATAATCTTCGGCTGATTTTGTTCATTCACCACCTGGTCTTGTTTACCTTTCCATTCATCAAATGCTAATCGATGTTTAGTTTTTATGTGCTTTAAAAAATTCGAAGTTGTTTTATATGTAGCTGTAACTGATAATGAACAAATATTGCAGCAACAAGTCCATCGATTCTTTTCAATATTAATATTCAATTTTGAAAAAAATTCTTGAATAACAGGTGGTCCATTAACATCATCATTTACTACGATGACGGATTCTGATTCACCTTTTGTAATAATCGAATCTGTATCCATAATAAATATAAATAATTAAACAAATGTTCACAATAGTAAATCAAATAATTGAGCTGTAATAATACACGAACAACGAATGTATTTTGTTCAGTAAGAATGAATTATGCATACAAAAGGAAAGAAAAACTGTATAATAATATACAAACACTCATTGGTTACTAATTAAAGACTATATTACTAGTGAAGGAGAATAAAAAAGAAAGAGTACGCCAGTTGTTAAATCCTGGGAAGACGTCTTTATATTTATCTGAATACGTATATAAAGAATAAAAAAAAAGATATCAGTTGTGTATTTCATCCTCGGGAAAGATACAATAATTTTATCAAGCATCATTTTAATATAATGCATAATTATTTAGAATTTCGAGTACTTAACTTTCGAGTACGAGTACGAGTACCATCAAATCGTACTCGAGTACGAGTACTTCGAGTATTTTGCCCAGCTCTGTGTCAGACTAGTTCATGTAGTATAGAATTTTGTATGTTAAATTTTCATTTAGATGTTCTATAGACAATATATGTACTATCAATAAAAAATTTCATTCATTCTATTTTTCTTTTTTTATGTTACGAAAAATAATTCTCATTTTTTTAACAGCATAAGATATCTGAGTGTAGTTGGTGATAGAGAAGACCGCTGTTTGCGTTGAACATAGCCAGCAACAGAAAAAGCTGATTCAGAAGCGACTGAAGTCGCTGGAATAATACTATAACGTCTTACAAATGATGTTAGAATTGGTAACATCCCAGGTCAATGATTCCGGCCTCCGGAACCTGCAGGAACCGGCCGGAAACGGTGTATTTTCCGGCCTCTTCCCGCCGTTTCCGGTGTCTTTCCCGGCGGAAATGACCGGAAAACACCCGGAACATGGAAGCAGTATTCCGGCCGGAAATTTCTCGTACCCGGAAACGTAGCGTTCCGAGAACTTCCCGCTGACGGAAATCTACGGGAAAAAAACAATAACCCGCAGGAACCGACCGGAAACCGCCCAGGAACGAACCGTTTCCCACCGGAAAACTCTAAGGATCCGCTCCCACATTCTTTGAAAGATCTTTGAAAGATCTTTCGAAGATCTTTCAAAGATCTTTCAAAAAATTTTTCAAATATTTTTTTTTTTAATGCAGCAATACACTTTTTGAGAAAAAATAATTTTTTTTGGGAACACCCAAAATTTTGTTGAAAAAAATTTTTCAAAGATCTTTCAAAGATCTTTCATTGGGTTTACATGATTTACTGCCGTGAGATTTACTGCCGTGTAAACATTTGTTTACAAATAGATCTTTTTTATAAGAAGTTATATGATTAAGTTCGATAAGTCTAATGATCACAATGGAATATTTTATTTTGTTTCTTATGTCAAAAGTCTATTTTTCATCTCAAAGGTTCGTAAAAGTGCGTTGAAATCTAACTATAGTTCGTAATGAGCTTTAAAAAAAAACTTATTTTATGTCAAAGTTTTATCTTTCTTGTCAAATGTTTGTAAAAGCTCATTGAAATCTAGCTGTAGTTAGTAATGGACTTTTCAAAAAAAAACCTTGTTCTATGTCAAAAGTATGTTTTTCATGTCAAATGTTCATAAAAATCTATTAAAATCTAACTATAGTTCGTAATGAACTTTTCGAAAAAAAAACATTTTATGTCAAAGGTTTATTTTTAATCTCAGACGCTTTTAAAAGTGGGTTAAAAGATAACTATAGTTCGTAATGATCTTTTCGAAAGAAAACTTATTCTATGTCATAAGTTTATTTTTTATGTCAAACGTTGGTAAAAATCTGTTAAAATCTAACTATAGTTCGTAATAAAGTTTATGAAAGAAAAACTTATTCTATGTCAAAAGTTTTGTTTTCATGTCAAACGTTTGCAAAAATCTATTAAAATCTGACTATAGTTCGTAATGAAGTTTATGAAAAAAAACTTATTCTATGTCAAAAATTTCTTTTTCATGTCAAACGTTCGTAAAAATCTATTAAAATCTAACTATAGTTCGTAATGAAGTTTATGAAAAAAAACTTATTTTATGTCAAAAGTTTTTTTTTCATGTCAAATGTTCGTAAAAATCTATTAAAATCTAAGTATAATTGGTAATGAACTTTTCGAAAAAAAGTATTTTATGTCAAAGGTTTATTTTTCATGTCAAACGTTCGTCAAAATCTATTAAAATCTAACTATAGTTCGTAATGAACTTTTCGAAAAAAACTTATTCTATGTCAAAAGTTTATTTTTCATGTCAAACGTTGGTAAAAATCTGTTCAAATCTAACTATAGTTCGTAATGAAGTTTAAGAAAAAAACAATTCTATGTCAAAAGCTTACTTTTCATGTCAAATGTTCGTAAAAATCTGTTCAAATCTAACTATAGTTAGTAATGAAGTTTATGAAAAAACTATTCTATGTCAAAAGTTTATTTTTCATGTCAAATGTTCGTAAAAATCTATTAAAATCTAACTATAGTTCGTATATTTTTTTAGGTTTTTTCACTAATGGATTTTCATTTCTAATATTTCTCTAATGATTTGCTATTAAATATATTAAATCAAGCGATTTAGTATATTGTTAAGTTTACTAAATAGAATGGTACTATTGTAATGTATTACTGATTTTTCTTAGTGGTATGTTGTGATCATTAGCTTATCTTAACTATAAATCATATAACTTACCAATTTGGATAAATAATTGTAAATTGTGCAGATGTGAGATTTTTATTTTATATTTTTAATAATTTTTTTTAATGTATAGATGTATTGATATGAAGATCAATAATCATGTTTACGAAACAAAAGATAAAGGCGCTTTTTATGAAGTTGATTCATTATTGTTAATTAGAATAATTCATATATAAACCATTGATAAATTGAACTTTTAAATTTTAGAAAAAAAAAATGTCATAATATATATTAAAAATATAAATAGAGGAGTAAGGAAAAAGAAATGATGAAAGAGGGAGAGAGGGAAGTATATACAATGAATGTGTTTTATGATTAAACATTGTAAGAAATAATTTATGAATTTATTATCTTTTAGCGAATAAAAGATTTGTATATCAATAAATAGAACATATATTATTTAAATGAAAACAAAAAGATAGTTTATTTTATTTTTTTCCAGGACAATATAGTATTATTACATTCAGGATCTTTACATCGAATGCTGTATGTATAGGTTTTAATATTTATGATGATAGCTACGTTGTTATGTTGATGATGATCTTTTTTCTTTGGACAATATTTATAATGACCTGCTATATTGAAAAATAATAAACTTTTATTGTAAGTTCCTCTAATGCATGAATGTATATAGCCTTGATGAGATGGATCAGATGTAATGATGTTCTGAACAAAAGTAATAAATATTTGGACATCAGGTATAGATAAATCTAGTTTATTAGATTGATTTGGATGTAATGACGAAGAGGAATTTTGATTCGTATTAGTATTTATATCTAGATTAAGAAAATATGAGTGGTCTCTGTGATCATTAATTATTTTAATATTTAATAAATTTTGTGGAATTGTAGTTGTTGAATTGGAATTAGAATAAGGTGGAAAATGAATTATAAGATTTTTATTTTTGAAATAAATTTTTGGTATTTGATGATTTTCAATTAATGTAATTAATGATTTTTTAAGAATATCACTGAACGAATATTGTAGCGAAGAATCAAAAGGAAATGTAGTTGAGGGAATAAGGGGATTGTTTTTTCCGTATTTTACACTATTAAATAAACGAAATTGTTGGTTTTTTGAATAAACATTTATATCAATTGCTGTGATCCATTTATCTGCTGCACTTCGTACAAGCAAATATAAAATATCAGCAATTGAAACATAAGGAATCGATATTGTACATGAAGTACAATGTTTTCGTAGTATACTGACATATGGAGCTAAGATTTGAATTAAATTTGATATTGTACAGGGTTCTGGTGGTGAATTGATATTAAACATTGTACATTTATGTTGAATAATTGAGAATAGGAGAAAATGAATAATAGCTTTGAGGAAAATACCAAGAGTTGATACATTTTCAAATAAAACTGATGGTTTCGAATGTATAAAATGATAGGATATTTTTTCGTTTGTTGATCTAATAATAAAAAAACAAAGATATAATCGATTAATTGAGAAAAATAAATATACATGAAATTTAATCAATATAATTCTATTTTGGAAAGAGAAAGAGAGAGTAATAAAAAAAATTGTATGGCATATTAAAAAAATATGATCACTTACGCTTGTAAAACTAGAAATTGTTTTAAAATCTTTTGTGTATAAGTTTCGATTGTATCAATAGTATCATTTGGAATATTTAGAAAATAGTAAAGTATTTTAAGAGAAGATATAGGACCAATGTAATGATTTTCTATATCAAGGTTTTTGTCGATGAAGTACTCATAATCAATATATGCTTTCACAGGCTTCGATAGAGAAATAACTTCATATAAAGTTCGATCGGATACAGGACAATGTTCAAATAATGTTGTTAGTTGTTCAATGGTAAGACGACAAAATTGTCGAGATTTATTTTCTTTTTCTATACTTATACAAATATCATTTTTTATATTATTTTGATCGGATGGTTCATTAGTTAAGTCATTTATATGATGAGTTATAATATTATGTGGAAAAAGTTTTTTGATTAAATTTTGAATAAAGTCCATGATGTATTTATTATTAATATATGATTATATAGGTTATTAGAT